CCGGACTGGAGGAGGAGATGGGGTTGGACATTCCCACTCTCTGATCAGGCAGGTTTGCCTTCATGGGGTCCAGCATTCTTCCTGAGACTGTGGGGAGTTAGTTCAGACCCCAAAGCTGCTATTTTAGCATAAGCTCAGATGGATCCCTTTAGCAAAAGACATTTCTGTCACTCAGTTAGTTATAAGAGTTTGAGGCGCTCTATGCCAAGAAAACCAAGTGTATTTTTATTTTATTGCAATGTATTTTTAAAGGAAACAAAACTATTTTATTTCTAAATATATATGTTTTTTGAGAATTTCATGCATTGGTATTGTACATTTATATCATTTCCAGTCTTTCCTCCTCTAACATCTCCTGTGTCCTCTCCCAGTCCTCTTGAAATTATTGACCTTTTTCTTATCTTTTAGTTATTACACACACACACACACACACACACACACACACTCCTACACACCCAGGGAGGTTGAGAGAGGGAGGAAGAGAGAGAACAAAGGAAACTTACTGGGTCCCTTTATTGTTGCTCATCTGTGTATGTGTGTTTAGGGCAGACCACTGGTGGTTAGAGAACCTAACATGGGGCTGACTGGCTGTCTCTCTCTCAGGCAGGATGGGGCTGCCACTTCTCTGTTCATTCGGGTTCTTACCCCAATATCTGACTCCCGACTTTTTGTTGATAAAGAATAATTAGATAAACGCTTCCCTAGGATTTCCCCCATCTGTGTTGGCATGGCAGTGAGTGGTGTAAATATTCCTGCCTCATCTTCGGTGATGTTCCCTGAGCCTTAGGGGTTGTGCTGTAGGTGTTATCATTTGGGGTTAGAAGTACCAGCACCAGTTGTTCTCTCCCTTTGGGCTAGTTGTGGGTTTCTGTGATGGTCTGTGTGCTTCACAAAGAAGCTGCTTTGATGAGGCATGAGATCTATACTTACCTCTGAGGATGAGGAGAAGTGTTTAGAATGCAGTTGAAAGTATAGCAGTTTAGATAAGAGGTAGTTGTAGACTTTTCTTGAGGGTCTGTGACCTCACTAGCCATGCGTTGCTGGCTGGGTTTACAGTACCAGGCATGGATTTCCTCTTCTTGAAGGGGCCTTTAGTCTAATTATAGAGCTCTTGGTTACTCTTATATCTTTAGTGTCACTGTTTTACCAATGGGGGCCATCTTGCCTTGTTGGTTATTATTGTGGTTCCCAGCCTTTATAGTGGGGCAGAACTACTGATTGCTTTTCTTCCTTGGATGCTTGCATAGCACCTTCATAAACTATGAGAGCTAGTCTTCAAAGAGGAGGCTTCCAGGTTGACTCTAGCTTGATTCCTCTAAGTCCCATATCCAATTAAAGTGGGTGGTATCTTCAGATCTGCATTTTACGTTCACGTTCTGGGAAGCAATCAAGAGCACCATCGATAATCTATATTGATTTGGGCATGTCTTGGACTCCCTTGACCAAGAACTGCAAGTGAGGGTATTTCACCTGCCTGGCTCTGCCCAGCCCTGCTTTCGTGCCATGTTTAGACACACACACATTTAAATAAAAGTTCCCTGCAAACTCAAGACGGGCTCATAGAGGGCTGAGGCGTCAGAGTTGTGTAAGGAGTTGTTGCCACAGAGGAGCATCCTGCATTACCACCTCCCCTCTGCCACTGTACAACCCACACACTTTTCATTCTGGGCCTTGCTGTCTTTGGTTCATTCATGTGGTTTCTCAGGAGCTGCCATGTTGAAAGGTTGCCAGGTGCTATCCATAGAGAAATACGCCTTGGGCTCCTATCCCCACAGGCCCAAGATCTGAGTGGCAGAAAATGCTTTGAGAACACACATCCATTCCTGCTAGAACCAGACTGCCAGGACCTCATTCCACATGTTTTTCCCTAGGAAGCCTCCCAATAGGCAGCTTAAGGTCCATTTTTCAACTCCTATGTTGTGCTAGCACGCCTCCCACATCTCCCATGCTTTTTATACCATTGTTTGTATCTCAGATATTGGAGATACTGTAGCGCTGTGTCCTGTAGTATTCTGTAAAATGAAAGCATCATTTTCTAAATCCATCATTTGTTGCTTGCCTATGAGGACCCCATGATTTTGCCTTGATGCTGTGGTCTCATTTTACCCTAGAAGATAATTCAGCCCCTACGTTCTCCCAGCACATTTCTCACAGCCCAGATCTGTTTTTGCAGCCATTCCTCCTCACTGCCCGGTAGGTCAGGTTGGTTTTGACGTCGGGGAGAGTAGCATGCACAGATCATCACTTTCAGAGACTGCATCTGTTCTGTGTTGCTATGGTGGAAGGCTTGTAGTACAGAGAGAACTTTTGCAGAACCAGCCCCGAGACAGCCCAAGGATTCATTTACTTGAGGTCTGATGATACAATTGAGTCTTGACTCACTGACCAACTTAAATCCAGAGCTGTTGGAGCTTTTTTTCTACCATCACATTGACGTGCTTGGATTGTGGTGAGCTAGGAGGCACACAAACAATGCTGAGCAAACAAAATAGCAGTGATATCACCTGCCACAAGACTGGGTAGTACCCTCAGCTGAGTATGCTCAGAAGCCAAGGGATGTGGGGCAAGATGGGTGGTGTGAGGCAACTCTGACCTGGTCCCTGTAGTGGTCTTAAGTTTGAACAACTAGGTGATCCCATCCCCTCACTTCCCAACTCCTCCGGTCATCATGCCCTCGGGCTTAGGAGATGGGTCCTTGTCCGTCATGGCAGCATGCCTTTAAAGGAGGTTCTTGGAAACCTTGCCCCCTTGGTCACAATAATGGTCACAATGATTAACTCAGAGCAGCATCCCAGGTGAAGTAGAAGATGGAAGTGTGTTGATACCAAAGCAGGAGAGAGAAATGAAGGGGAACATAGAGCCAAGCACATCCAGATGGAGCAGGCTGTTACAAACATGGTTTGGCTGCTGTCCAGGAGCTCCCAGCAGACCACTTGAACCAGGCCAGAACTTCCTCAGTGTTCCACTCCCCATAAATCTCATCAACTGTGGACCCCTGCAGGAGAGGTGTTAATGTCCCAGTGATGCTGCTGCATGCTGAGTTAATGTAACATCCTTGTTTGCTGAGGTGTCCCTAGTTGTTAATAGCCCCTATTCTCTGACATCAAATTATTCCAGTTCTGAAGTAGACTGTAGAACACTGCCTGTCCTCCAGAGGATGGTTAGACCTTTGAGATCTGTCCATGGCTCTTCATTGCCATAATAAGTAGCTTTAGATCCACAATGCTTATCTGTGTATTCCAAGTCCAGTAGCTCTGACAGTTTGGTTCCTTTGGCTTAAATATTGTTTTATCTGAACACGTGGTCAGAAATCAAATGGAGATTGCTATACAATCGTAGCATTTATATGTGTCTTAGCATAAATAATTTGACTAAGTTTCAGGGCACAAATGAGAATATGTTTGATTATGGGGGGCACTCTGGTTCTCAGTGGAGGTATAGCACTTTCCTAAATCCTGGAAAGTCTGGATCTTGCCACATGAATGTCAACAGAGACACATACAGAGTTGGTGGGTCCTTTGCTGCCAGCCCTGAGACCTAATGGGGCAAGGCTGGTGGCCTGTCAGTAGTAGGAGACTCTGTGGTATCTCTGCAGTTTTGGCCCTGGGAATGGCTGGAGGTACCTGGTTATTGGAGCAAGGATTGTAGGCCTTCCTGGGGGTGGAGATGACTCCATAGGGCCTGGCCCCAAGTTGCTGTACTTATGAATGTTCCTGGGTTCTCATCCCTGTGTCTGTGTTCTACTGCTGAGGCCCAGAGTTTGAGGTGTCAGCTTGTAGTATCAAAAGCACTGCCCATGCTGAGAGAGATGACTTTTAGAAAGAGGGATTTTATGGAGTCCAGTAGAAGCCCAAGGGAAACGTCCAGGAGTCTACAAGGATGACCCCAGCTAAGACTCCTGGCAGGAGTGGATGCCTAGCCTGAACTGGCCATCCCTTGTGATCAGATTGCTGACTATCCTGTTTGTCATCAGAGAGACTTTATTCCAGTGACTGATGAAGGCAGATTCAGAGACCCACGACCAAACATTGCGCTGCACTTGGACAGTCCTCTGAGGAGAGGGAGGAGGAATTGTAGGAAACAGGGGGGTCAGGAACATGGCAGGAAAACCCACAGAAACCACTAGCCTGGCTCATGGGAACTCAGAGTCTAAACCAACAACAAGGGAACCTGCATGGGACTGACCTAGGCCCTCTGCATATATGTGACAGTTGTGTTGCTTGGTCTATATGTGGAAACAGGGCTGTTCCTGGTGCTTTGGCTGGCACTTGGGAATCTATTCTTCATACTGGATTGGCTTGCCCAGCCTGAATACAGGGGGAGGTGCTTCATCTTATGGCAGCTTGATATGCCATGCTTTGCTGAAGCCCATAGGAGGCCTGCCCCTTTCTGAGCGATTACAGGGGGGGTGGGTTGGGGAGAGTGGAGGGGAGGAATGGGGTGAGAGTGGGAGGAGAGGCTGAAGTTGAGATGTAAGACGAATAATTTAATAAAGAACTGTCCATAAGACAAAGTCAGAAATCATGTTTAAGTGTGCCCTCAGAAGTTCTGAGTGGTTCTGCTTTTATGGAAACAAATGGCCGACATTTCTATAGCTTGGTTTTATTTCCAGTTGGAATAAGTGAATTTATTTATTTTTTTTCAAAATGCCCTTTCAGGGAAAACTTTGAAAGCAGAACCATTGTTCATTTGGCTAGAAGCAACCCATCTACCGAAGGAGGAGAAGCCTAAGCCTAGGGGTGTGCAGTGAGTCGGAATTAGCTTTAATGCCACCATCTGAATGTGGTCATGGTGACAGCAGGTCCCCAAATGTGATTTTTATGCTATTCTAGATCATTTTAGAAGGGATTATTTAATTCTCAGTTTCCTTACACTTTATAGATACCAGCTCAGTTGTAGAATAATGTCTGAACTCTTGGCTTTGAACTTTCCTAGTAATTTCTCACGAGAAATAGAAGTAAACTGGGGACAGCATACTGCTAATGCTCGATCTTTGTCAGTCTTGGACAGATCACTATTTGCAGTGGAACATGTCCGAGTACCCGGGAGTGAAGAATGTTCGTTTCCCAGATGGCCAGATTTGGAAACCAGACATTCTCCTCTATAACAGGTAAGCGCATCTGACAGATGGGAAATGATCTTCCCTTGCATGCATAGAGCAATAAAGCATATTTGAGCATTTTACAGAAAAGCTGGCTGTGTTATCTTTAATTTGGAGCCATTGCTCCTTGTGAGACTTTCCAAGTGGGCAGGTCTCTGGGAGGCTGCTCTGTTCCTCTGCTGGTATTTGCTGTATTTGCATGTAAATTCAGGTTGTCCCACCTGCTACCAGAGGTGCCAGGGACTGCACTATGGATACATAAGATTGTTCTCCACTTACAGGAATGTAAAGCATTCTTGAAGCAGTACCTTAGTATCTGAATGACAGCCATTACAATCCACAGCAGAAGGTGCCAAACAGTGTGTGCACTGCAGACTACAGTTTAGACCTAGGCTCTCATCTGACTTGTTCCCCATTGCACACTAGATATCTGCTGCACTTTGACTGAGTTCCTGCAGAGCATGCTTCTCACAGAAGCATGTGCACAGGCTGAGGAAGATCTGTAAGAGTAGGATGATATTGATGGCAGTCATGTTTTTATCTTGCGGGCAAAAATTTAAAGGATTCATTTGTAATTCAAGGCAATGTGATTTGCAGACCAGATGACCAAAAAGCAAGTTTCTAGGCAGGCTTAAGTTCTAGAAGCAGTGGAATTCCTTATCACAGCTGTGTGGCTCAGTAAGAGAACTTTGAACATCTCTATTCTAAACAGCATGGCCAGTATGATGTCATGCAAAGGCGAAGGATCCTAAAGATCTTGCACCTTTGCTTCTGTCTGGGTAAAGAGAGGAACCCAGGTAATCCTGATTCAGGACACTGACCGTCCACCACTGCTCAGTGATCCCTCAGAGAATTGCCTGGGCAGCTGATATGTTCCACTTGTATTTCCTACTTCGAGGAGCCTGGACATCCAGGTTCAGTTTCTTGTATTCACAAATTTCATTGTTTCTGCCTTTCCCTTGAATGACTGAATGTGCCTCTAAAGGAAAACCACCTCCTCATTTGTGCCACTGTCTGCTTCTTAAGGTTCAGAAAACTGACTTTGTGTGATGTCCAAGGTCAGAATGAGTGGTCCTTTATTGAGTGGGTGAAGCAACTGAGGGTCAGGTCATCCATTTCCTGGAGACTGCACTGATATTCCAGGTCTGCTGTGGAATGGTGCCATCTTTTAAGGCCACTGCTTAATCAGTAGATATTTGTGTGCTAATGATTTTAAAGGATAAGTGACTTGTGTGTGTGCGTGCGCGTGCGCACGCGCGCGCGTATGTGTTGGGTTCTTGCTATATAGTGAAGACTTTCCTAGAACCTGTAACCTTCTGCTTCCACTTTTTAAATGCTGGGATTACAAGCATGCAACTCCACATCTTACTCTTTAGTTGATGTTTTCTGGGCCTGCCTCTAAATACAGTCACATTTCCAGGTACTGGAGTTTTAGAATTTCAAGGTAAAAATGTGTGGAAAAACAATTGAGAGTTTGTAAGGAAATTTCTGTAATGCATGCAGCATCCCTAGTGGGGCCCTCTGCAAAGGGAGGATATTCAGTACCAACATTCAGTGGCAGTTGTGTGTTTATAAGTGGGAGGATGATGATGTCATCTATCAACTAAAACTGTTTTGTAGTTCTGATGAGTTTTATCTGAAAAGTATGAGTATACTTTTTAATGTAGTAGAATTTCAAATGGGGCAATGAGAGATGGTTTTATGGCTGTGTGTACGACTGTTAACTCTAAATCATGACATGTTTGGTGATCCCAATCTTCTGGCTAATGAAGAGTTACTAATTAGTCTATAGAATTAATTTCAAGGAGCACAGATAGAGCAGCTTCCACCTGACATATGGCACCAGGCTCCCCTTCAGAACACAAGCCATAGTCTAGAATTCTGCTTGGATGACACACTTTAGCAGCTTCCCTGTTCTTTTCTCCATGTGACTGTTGATCATATCATCAGGGTCCCTCGTGGAGTTGAGAGGGGCCACCACAATTTCTGCTTTCGGTTTTCTAAGCAGTTAATGTTATTGTTTGAATCTGAAATGTCTAACACAGACTCATATGTTGAAAGCTTGCTCTACAGCTGGTGGTACTGTTATGGAAAATTCTGGAGACTTTGAGAAGTGAGCCTAACTGAAAGAAGTATGTCACTGGGAGAGGGTACTTCAGGTTATAGTATCTCTTGTCACTTCCTGCCTACTGTCTTTGCTTACTGGTCCCCTGTAACATGAACAACTACTCTCTACCAGAAGACCCCGAATGCATGATATTCTGTTCAGTCTCATGGGCCCAAACAGCCAGGAACTGAACCTTCTGAGACTGTGAGCTGAAAGAAATAGCTCCTCCCTTAAGTTGTTTCTGTCAGGTCTTTTGGTCACTGCAACACAAAAGTAACTCATGAAGTGGGATGTACAAGTTCCATGATGAATCAGCTGCTAGCTCTCTGGCTTTTATTCCCACACAACCAGAATGTAAGATGCACAGATCACAGAGACTTTTGTTTAAGCCAGCCATAGACTTGTGTCATTTACCTAGTGCTACAAAACAAACTACCTCAAACCGACTGGCTTGAAAAATCTCAGAATCTTACTCTATTATTTTTTGTGATACTTGGGCCTGACCAGAACCATCTGCTTGGGTGTTTGCTCCATGTGACATTGGCAGACTGTGGTCACTGGGGTTGAAGGACACACACTTAGCCTGGGCAGCTGGCAGGGATGACAGCCACGGCTCTGGACTGAGCTTGAGCTGAAGACCATGCCACCTTGGTTTTATTCCTCTGTCCTTTTTCACGGGTCTAGGTATCCCAGCTTGATGTAAGAAGTGGGGACTGAACAGAGAAGTTCCAGAACAGCCACTCACTCCATTTCACTGCCCAGAGCAAACTGGTTCAGCCTCTTCTTGTCCTTTTGACACCAGATCTTCAGTAAAACTTTCCGAGTTTTACCCATTTTCGTCTTTTGGTGTGTGATAGCTCTTCTCCCAAGTTCGCCATCTGCCTGCCTTTCCTGCATGCCCAAGTGGACTGATTTCATTTCCCTTGACTGTTCTTCAGAAATTACCTTTTATCTTTACACGTGTAATGTGACACGTGCGTCACCCCCCCAATACATACATAGATGTATACACTATAAAAAAAAAAAAAAGAGCAAAAGAGAAACAAAGGAAAGAAATCACATTAGCAACCCAGAAAAAAAATCATGAGAGAGTCAAAAAATCAACAGCAGAGATAGCAAGCCCAGGCTTGTCTTCAGTAAAACCTTGACCTTTTGGTATTTTATGATGGGGGATTTTGAGAGAGGTAAGCTTAATACTTTCTGCCTGTTTCAGGCACTAAGAATATTATGTTGGGCCCATACTGTGGTCGATCCATGCGTGGATGAAGATGTAATGGCTGTTCCCAAAGAAAGAGGTTAAAATGCCACCATTCTTTGAGCTAACACAGGGGCATCTGGAGATGCCTCACAACCATGGCTAATTTTTGTTCCAGTTTGGTGTCAAGAGTCCAGGCGTATAACACGATGGTATTGAGATCATGTTTCTGTGCTTTAAGAGTCTGGGTTGCTGCAAAGCAGATATCTCTACACCATTTCTAGAATGGGCTGATGCGTTTTCTTGATGGATGGGAACCTAGGGATGTGCTGCCAGCCAGTTGGACTGCTTTGAGTAGAGGATGGGCGTCAATAAGAGCTCTGCCTGGTGCTGGTTCCAATCGTTTCTCCATCACTTTATTCTGCTTCATTTGGAGCCGTCGGTTCAAGGATTTTTCTGAACACAATCTAGCTCAAAGTGAGTGGCAATTATAGATGGCTTGTCACAGTTCCCCCTTTTTGGCTAGAGTTAGATGCCTTTCTGGTGTCAGTAAGTCGTCTTACAGAAGAGAATTCTGTATGGTGACGTGGAGGTGGCCCCTGCCCCATGCTTAGCCTCCCTGGGAATCTTTTTTTAATTGCCTAGTAAGAGAAAGTGTTTGTGGTTAATGAGAAACGTTTAATGAATGTATTTAAAGATGTGTTTGTCAGCTCTGATTTTGAGGACAGCACTGGCAGTCAGACACCTCTTTCATAGATTGTGTGGAGCTCTGTTTGCACACATCTGTAGGCAAGTATCTTTCTTCCCATGTCCCCGTGACCCCTTGGTTGATGACAAACCTGTGGAGATGTGTCTGTGGGCTGCAGCCTGTTAAGACTCCTGATAGAGCTAACGAATGACACACCATTGGAACAAAATGTTTTCTCCCCTGTGGAGAGTCTGAGGTTCTTCTGAAATGAACTCAAGATTGGAATGTCAGTGTGTGTGGTTTATTTGGGGAGCGATACCAAGAAGTGCTGGGCCGAAGGAGGAGTGTGATGGGAAAGGATGTGAAAAGCAAACAGCACAGGGGCAGCTGGGCCATGCTCACTAGGAAGTGCTGTGGCCATCTCACATCGTTCTGGGGAAGCTGGGGCTGAGGTTTGTACAAAGCTACCAGCTCCCTGGAACCTGGAACAGAGTCTTGCCCTGTACACGGACTCGAAAGCCTCTGGAGAGGCAGCTGTCAGGACCTTGTCGATGTTGTTTTCCCAACTCTACCCTCAAGGTCCAGCATGGCTATAGACCCAAATTCGACCTCCAGTGGGGATGACAGCAGCAGAGTGAAGCATTGTGTGTGGTCAGGAGGCTTCTTAGGAGGTGCGATGGTCTGGGTGTTCTCAGGCAGGCAAAAAGAAGGGAGGTAGAGAGAGAACTGAAAGCCTAGGTCTACATCTTAGTAGGTGGTTCCTGTTCCACCATGGGCTGGAGTGTGTTCACAGAGGTTCCACACAGGTTCATAAGTAAATGGGATCTCAGGGAGTGACCACTTAGTGTTATGGGAATTAACACTTCTTAAATCATGGTATTTGGAAATAGAACTGAGGTTGGCCCATGAGTGCAGAAAGCCCTCCAGTCAGGGCTGAGCCCTCGTAGGCTCCAGGGCATGTCTCAGAAGTTACCAGGACAGTTCTAGGATGCAGCAGAAATCTCCTGAAGAGCAGTTTT